CATCTCACGATGGGTGTTCGCAAACTAATGATAGTTATAGAATTAATCTGGTTAACAAGATTAATTTTCAGAAATGGTATTCTCAAGTACAAATCATCATTAATGATTTTAAACTTGAAACTGTTGCCCTTATTGATACAGGTGCAGATGTTAACTGTATTCAAGAAGGAATAATACCGACTGAGTATTATCAAAAAACGCTTGAAAAACTTAGCTCGGCAAATGGAAGTAAAATGAAAGTTAAATACAAATTGCCAAATGTTCATATTTGTCAAGACAATGTATGTTTCAAAACATCTTTTGTCCTAGTACAGAATATGACTAGTGAAGTTATTCTTGATTTACCATTTGTATATTTGTTGTATCCATTTACAACAGATACTAAGGGTGTCACCACTAAACCATTTGGACAATCAGTAACTTTCAATTTTATTAGTAAATCAGAAACTAAGACATTAAGGCAACTAAGAGATCACTCAGTCTCTCAGCATCTTAATGCAATCAATCAAAAAACTCAACAGGTAAAATTTCTCAAAGATGAAATTAACCATAAGAGAATTCAAGAATAATTAACAAATCCAATCTTAATTGAAAAGATTGAGCAATTTAGGTTAAAATTGGAAGAAAAAGTATGTTCTAACCTTCCTACAACTTTTTGGCATATGAAGAAACATATGGTGAAACTTCCATACATAAAAGGATTTAGTGAGACAAATATTCCTACTAAATCCAGACCAATCCAAATGAACCACGAAGTAATGAAAACCTGCAAAAAGGAGATTACCCAATTACTTCATAATGGTATCATTCGGAAATCAAAATCTCCTTGGTCATGTCCAGCTTTCTATATCTTAAAAAATGCAGAATTAGAAAGAGGCATACCAAGATTAGTAATCAATTACAAACCATTAAATACTGTTTTGGAATAGATCAGGTACCCAATTCCAAATAAACAGGATTTAATTAAAAGACTTAGTAATTCAGTAATCTTTTCTAAATTTGATTTGAAAAGTGGTTACTGGCAAATCCTTATATCTCCAGAAGATAGATATAAGACAGCATTTACAACTCATTTTGGTCATTATGAATGAAATGTAATGCCCTTTGGATTAAAAAATGCACCTAGTGAATTCCAAAATATCATGAATGAAATTTTTAATGGTATTAGTAATTTTTCTATTGTCTATATAGATGATATACTTATCTTCTTCATATCAATAGAAGAACATTGGAAACATCTCCATACTTTTCTTGAGATAGTTAGACACAATGATCTAGTCATCTCAGCTAGTAAAATTAAGTTGTTCCAAACCTCAGTAAGGTTCCTTGGTTACAACATCCAGTACTCCACCATTATTTCCATCAGTCGTTCTATCCAATTTGCAGATAAGTTCCCTGATGAGATTCTAGATAAAACCCAGTTACAAAGGTTCTTAGGTTACCTAAACTATGTTTCTGACTTTTATCAGGATCTTAGGAAAACTGTTAAACCTCTGTATGACAGACTCAAATGAAATCCTCCTCCTTGGACCTCTGCTCATACATCCATTGTTCAACAAGTCAAGAAGTTCATCAAAACTTTGCCTTGCCTTGGTATTCCTTCGGTTGATTCTTTTAAAATCATCCAAACTGATGCCTCCGATATTGGTTACGGTGGTATCCTCCTTCAAAATCTCACTCCAGACTCCCCAGAACAAATTGTTCGTTTCCACTCTGGTATTTGGAATAATGTACAAAGGAATTATAGTACTATTAAAAAAGAAATTTTATCTATTGTCCTGTGTATCTCTAAATTCCAGGATGATATATTAAATCAAAAATTCTTGGTCAGAGTTTATTGTAAATCTGCAAAATATGTTTTGAAAAATGATACACAAAACATTGCTAGTAAGCAGATTTTTGCCAGATGACAGTCTATCTTAAGTATTTTCGATTTTGATCTCGAATATATTAAAGGCAGTAATAACTGCATTCCTGATTTCCTAACCCATGAATTTTTGCAGGAACATCATGGCGGACAGAAAAATTAGAAAGGCTAGTACATCTTCCAAATCCGGGAGAGATACTAGAAAAACAAAATCCCAATTAACCTTGCCAAGCCCATTAGTTTTGTCAAGCTCAATCCAAATTGCTAATCGTTACCAACCCCTTGGTAAACCTAACCCAGTAAGACCAGTGGCCCAGTTTATCCACTTTTCTTCAAATGGCCCAAAAAGAACCAATTAGTTCTTCAAGCCCATAGTTAGTTGCTCCAAGTCAACTAGTTGTTCCACACCCAACTTCTAAGCCCAAACCAGCTTTTATAGAAAGCTGAATACACTAAGAAAGGCGAACCCATTTCAGTGTTTGCCATTGAACCCATTCATGCTCACCTAAACAACCCAAAAGATATAGTAAATATTTATTTGAAACCAGGATGGAACTTTATCCCATATGATCCGGAGAAAACATTTACTTTTTATCAAGATATATTATTCTTTACCCAGTCTATTCATATCAAACCCATATTTGATAGGAATGATCCAAGTAAAGTAATATATCATTCATTATATATTCTGAAATTCATCTCTTTCAAAGAATGAGGATCTTATCCTTTTTTGCTCAAAGATCTCGAGGGATATGAAAAGAAGTTTAATTATTATGATTACATTGAATCATGAAATAAATTTCTCCTCTATCAGGATGAGTCATTAACCCATTCCTGGTTCATTCAATTCGATAAGAATTTCAAAAGCCAGATTCCTGCCTGGTTTGCACAGTGGTGGCTTCTTCATGGCCCCATACCTGAAATTCTACCTTTGGACCTACAAGATCAGGTCACCTATTTTGCCTCTATTTATAAACCTAGTTATTATGACAGAACTCATTTTTCGAGTCTGTTAATTTTCTTCAGTAAATATAAAATTCCCTGGATTTATAAATGGTCTTGGAAAATTTGTTCTAACTTTGTTTGCAGGCAATCCTATGTAAAATGGTGGCACAGGTTCCAGCATGATCGCATTATTGCCTAAGTTAAACAGGAGTTTCCAGTAAAGATTCCAGCACCAGTCACAGTATCAACTGTTGCTGCTATCCTTCCAAGTCCAACTCCACCACCAACAAAGGCTATGCCAGCCCTCAGGATTTCTACTCCAGAGCAACCTCAGGCAACTGTACAGCCTCCAAAAGCAAAGCCTAAGCAGAAACAGTCCTCCTCTAAGGACTCTGCTATAGTTACAGGCCCCTCCAAGCAGCCTAAACCAAGGTCTTCTGAGCTCCTTGCCATGGCTAAGAAGCTTTTGCAACAAGCAGCCAGTAATGATTCGTCTTCACCAGCATCTTCCACAGGCTCCGTCAACCCATATGCCAATATGGATCCAGATGACCAAGACCCTTATGCTGATTGTGATGACCTCACCCCTGACCTGGCCTCCCCTTGATTCTTTTCCTTATGCGTGATAGTTTCAATCACTACTTTCTTCCTCTCACACGAAAGAAAAGCTGTCTATTACGTATAGTGTCAAGATATCAACTGTTCTTTCGGTCCTTTCCACTAGTAAAGCACCGACTGACCCCACCAATCTGCTTTCTCCATCGAAAGTAGATTCTTTTTGTCCGGAGCAGAGACCCACTTAGCATTCTGCACCACATGAGAAGACATCAGGACCCACCTAGTGTCCTTTAGTCAAAATCACCAAGAGTAAAAGTAATTCACCCTAACTTTTTCACCGAAAGTTAATGTGAATTGTCTTTATCTTTAGTAAAAGCAAAGAAATAAATCATTGCAAGAGATTCCCTGAGTAATCTCTACGCCTATAAAATGGTTACTTCACTTCAGTTGAAGGCAGAGGTTTTTTGAAACCCACACTACACACCAGAAACACAATTCTCTCCTACCTTCACAAGTAAACATGTATTTTGAGATCTCTCATCATGATGCAAATGTAGAGACTTTCATCTATTCTCTTTCACTACTAGCCAATTTAGTGCTAGTATTGTAAGTATTTATTTTCTATAATTTGTATTTACATCTTGTTCATTTAAACAAGAATTTTTTATAAAGACAAAACATTATTTTGTCATTTATATTTATATCTTGTGCTTCTCCTCAAACTCACATGAATTCCGCATCTTGTTGTATTTTGGTATATATATATATATATATATATATATATATATATATATATATATATATATATATATATATATATTTGAGGTGATTAATAGTAATCGAAATAAAAAATAAATAATAGTAAAATTTTTATTTTATCCATTGAAAGATATAATTTTTTTTAATTTACCTCTTAAATGATTAAATTTTCTATATTATCCATTCAAAGAAATAAAATGTTACAATATGATTCATTGCCTTATTTTCGTTTGATTATCTATTTGTTTTGTGTCAAACCAATCAATTAAAAATTACAAAACAAACAGACAAACAACCAAATAAATATGACAGTGGACTATATTATAATACTAGTCATAATCCGTGTCTGAAGGTAGGATAAAATATAAAATTTGAGTGCCCAAAAAATCGATTCCACTATATTAAATTTTTTCAACATGTATATACAAATTAATCAAATATTAAATAATTAACTATAAATTAATCAAATATTAAATGATTAAACATATGATATAAATAAATGATATGATATTTTTAAGAGAAAAATATATTAATGATTAAATATGTAATAGAAATGAGTGATATGATATTTTTAAGAGAGAAAAAATGTAGGGAATAAAAATTAAAGTTACTATGTATTTTATTATATAAATTTTTAATTTTTAAAAAGACAATGCGGAAAAAATAGTTATTTAGTGGACAAGCTGAAATTTTTTGTATATTGTAGGGGGCAATAAATAAATAAATAATTGATTCTCTCAAGCGGGAATCAACAAAAGGCCGAGCACGTGACAGAACCCAGTGCTAAAAGTAATGGTGGGCATAAAGTAATTAACCAAACCTCATATCAGCTGTCCCACTTTTCTGTCCTCTTTCTGCCCACTCTTGGACGGAAAATAAAAGGTGGGCGGGAAGAACCAGCCATCCACCGATTTTTCCATTCCGTTCACTTTTTCTAATATACCAAACAAGGGAAACTCTTTCTATCATCTCCATTTTTCATCCTATTTTTTCATCCATCGTACCAAACAAGGGAAAGACTACTGCGACGACACAGTAACAACTCTCTCTCTCCCCTACGTAGGGCCTACGCACACGGCACACCACTCTCTGGTTCGACGTATTGCGTAGCATTGTGTTTGTTGCGATCACTGCCAGAAAATGGAAAGTAATACCGGCTCCGGCAATCGACCGAAGATCATGGTGACGAATGACGATGGAATCGATGCACCAGGTTTGCGAGCTCTGGTTGCCGTCCTCGTATCCACCAATAAGTACCAAGTGGTCGTCTGCGCCCCTGATTCGTACGTTCTCCTCTCCTAAGTCCTCTCTCTCTTAATGGACACATTGACGAGTGTAGGTGTTTAGGATCAGCTAAATTGTTGCGTTTTCCAGCTTTAACTCTGTGAATTGTTGCTCAATTTTGAAGCTATTCTCACTCTGTGTGTGTGTCTGTGTGCATGCTCAGCTTAAAAATTTCCAGATTTTATTTGTGAATTCTGTTCAGGAAAAGCGTTTATTTGTGAACTGTACTATCCAAAATCCCTAAAATATCACCGTAATTCATTTATTTTTCAAAGTTACACTTTGATGTGTATTGTCAACTGTTTATATATTGAATTGATCACACGTGAAGGGTTTGCTTGAAAGTTAGAAATTAACGCTAACTACAATGTTACTTGTGTTTTTACTTTCCCAAAAAGAAAAGTAACTTGTGTTTTGGATTGCAAGTTTCTTCCATTCGAGAACTCTAACTTTAGTTATTCAAAAAATTCCTGTTAACAAGTGAACAAGATAGAGAAAATGAACATAACCCTAATAGTTGGGCAGACTCATAAGAGAACTGATGCTCAATCAACATCTATGTGAGCTATGTAAGCCTACCCTTTTGAGATACTGTGGATGATTCCATTATATGGAGAAATTATTAAAAAATTAGCTTCCAACAACATGCCCAAGACCTCACCTTCTCTGAAAACTAGAGTGTTTCTCACATCTTAACTCATGAGACATGCGTACATGCACAAAAATTTAGAAATGACATACACCTAAGATATCTTTAACGACTTTGCCTGCTGAAAGCTCACACCGGATGATTCTCAATCACAACAGACTGAACAGAGGATACAGAGCATTCACGTGCTTGTTTTGTGCAAGGGTGGCAAATGTGTCTTCTTATGGGCTGGCTCATGTTGGCTCCTCAGCCGGATTGGAAAGGTTGGGCCTCTGATGGAGGTGCAAACGAAGGAAATAAATCTAGAAGGAGAAGGAAAGAGAGAGGCAATGTGACTCTCTCAAGCTAAGCATGCCATTCAAGCTTAGCAAAGTGTTGATTACCACAGTCTTGTTCCAATTCCAAGTTCTAAGTAAACTAGGTTTTTTTTTAATTGTGTCGAACTTTGAAGCAAGAATCAGGTACCAGTGTACCGCAAGGTCTTGAAATCCAGTGACTAACACATTATAAGTACTTTTAAAATGAGCCATTTTCAAATCACATCCTCATTGGATATTAGTATTTCACTTATACATCTATTACTTGGCACACATATCTGTTGTTTGGGAATAATAATTTTGGTTCCAAACACATAGACAAAAAACATACATGATAATTCTCAAAGACACGTGTTTGACACACCTCAAACATTGTTCTGCTGTATTCTAATTTACATTCAGTGCATAATTTATTAGGCAGATGTAGCAAGGGTATTAGTACTTGGAGAATTCATAAAAAAGAAGAAGTGAGATACTAGAGAGTAATCTTGGTAGATTAGGTCCCAAGTCCACATTCATGCAGTATTAGGCCTGAATTTTTACTTGAATTTGGTCAACCGTCAGAGTACTCGCCAAATTCATTTGAAAGGATTAGGTATACATATAAGTTATGCCCCTTATAGGCCTGAGAGAATACTTGATCTTTTCTCATATCTGTTCTTGCCTATTAAGCTGAACCAAGATGAGTAGCCGTTTGCTAGTTCATGGCTTTTAAGAATTCGTAAAATTCATACTATCACTGAGCTTGGAAGCACAAAAAGAGCATTTCTCCTTAGGATCAGTAAATAATCTTAAAAATGCCTCTTTAGTTTTCCATCCCAGTTTCAAGCTTTCAGTTTGTTGAGGACATTATCTTGTATTTTAAAATTCTTATCCATCCCATCATGATGATTCACAATGTTGGATGTCGGACTGGCTACCAGATTTAGTCCCAAACAATTAGCAACAATTGTAGTTTTCTGAACGTATATCTTGGGAGTTATTGAAAGTCATACTCACCCTTTGTAACTTATATTAGTACCCTGGTTATGGTTCGTATTAGCCAATTAGAATCAGCAGGAGGACTAGTTTGGCAATGCGGCACAATGGAGAATATTGCTTTTCCTATTGTTTTAAGTTGATTACCTATAGGATAAGAGATCTTATACATTAATATGTTGAAAGTAGCTTTGCAGCGGTAGACTCATGTCATTTCTTCTATCCTCATTCTATCTATTACAGGGAAAAGTCAGCTGTCAGTCACGGTATTACTTGGCGTAATCCTCTTTCCGTCAAGCGAGTAGAAATCAGTGGAGCAACAGCCTTTGCAATTTCTGGTTTGTTGCCAACTTCACTTAATATCCCCCATCTTCCATATTTGTGTTTTCTAATATGAGGAATCATATTACTGTGCTCTAGACCCTGGGCAGTGACAATATGACATTCTTAGACTAGATTGCATTGACTAGAAAACGAAGTTAATATATTACATGCTTTGTTCTAGTGAAAGATCTATATGAACTTGCAATCAACATTGCTGTTGGCTGGCACAGTTAATAATATTGATTGAACTTACCGTATTATAGCTACAAGATTAAGGATCCTCACATGCTTATGGCAAATGGAACATCACATTTCATTTTCGTTTCGAATTTTCTAGCTGAATAATCGTGTCCAGCTTTCCAGGTACAAAAACAATTTATAATTTACTCCTTTGATATATCATTCCTTATGTATAAGTTTTTTGTAAAGTTTGAAGTTTATAATCCTTAGGGTTGGAACCTAGATCACATAATTCGTTCAGATGCCACAACAAACTCATGCTCTGAACTCAAATCTGCAAATTCAAAGCAGATTCAGCACTAATCCGCGGATTCAAAAAAATGAAGCCGTGAATTAAACACTAGGGAGTCCACCACTCCACTGTTACAAAAAATTTTATAACTAATTAATGAGCTTGGATCTTTGCCCAATTTCCAATCTAAATTGAGGTCCAATCACTTACCAAAGCATTTTACAGCTGTCCTATTTAATGACTGTCTTCACATTCAATGCAGAGATCCTCTACCGATGTGGGATCAAAATTTTGCTCTAAAAGCAATTGTGCTTTTCTTGTTTATGGCCTATTTAATGGCTGTCTTCCCATTCAATGCAGATGTCCTCTACCGATGTGGGATCAAAATTTTGCTCTAAAAGCAATTGTGCTTTTCTTGTTTCTGTTTCTGTCCTATTTACTGGCTGTCTTCCCATTCAATGTAGAGATCCTCTACCAATGTGGGATCAAAATTTTGCTCTAAAAGCAAATTTGCTTTTCTTATTTCTATTTCTCATTTTTGGACTTAACCACCCTCTTTTCCCATGTGTCTCACTATGCTGTGTATATAAATTTGATGCTTTTAGTGATGCTTCTGCTCTCTACTTTTTTTTTTTAAATTTGGCACTCTCGCGCTCTTGCTCCCGCTCCTGCTATGTAATCTAGGTTGGAACTGAAAAGGTTTAAAATGATACTCCTGATGGAAGAATTACTATAGAAAGGGGTAGCTACTTCTTAGCCTTCTTTTGTACTTCCCTTACTAATGATATCTTGATGATAATGGTCGATATGTATGCTGTTACAATCTGATACTTTGACTCAAGGTTCAAAGTATCGGCGAGTCGTATCCGCCTCAGCAGGCATCGATCCGATAACGATACACGATACAAGATTATCACGAGTCTATCATGAATCGGGTCTGATTCGGGCCAACTCGGTCTAACTTGGACAAACTTGGATTCAACTCGGACAAACTCGGCCGATTCACTTCGAATCGAACTAATATGCACAAAATCGTCCACCAATTTTCAAGCAACAAAGAAAATGCCAAAAAAAAGGGCAAAAATATGAGAAATTGAACTCTAAATCAGACCATTTTTTACCATAATAAAAGCAAAACAAGTAAGTTAGAACAAAATTGAACACAAACCTAAAAAATTATGGTAAATCTCCCTAATTAGAGACCCTTTTCTGCTATTTGTTCTTACTTTCCTTCTTCTTCGCGGTAGCAGAGGACTCAGCATCATTGATCAACATTGCAAATCAATTGCAGAAACCCTAGCGAGCCTCCCAGTGAGCCTTCAGCGACCAGCGAGCCTCCTAGTGAGCCTTCAGCGACCAGCGAGCCTCCCAGACCCATCGTCTTTGTGCTCTCTCTCTCTGTTTGTCGAAGACTAAGAGTTGAAGAGAGAGGAGAATTTTTTTTTTTGGGTCAAAATACGGGAGGCTTTGGCCTAAAAGATCTAAAAATTTATTCTCCCCCCCTTTCTTTTTGTTTTTTCTGTTTTGGCCCAATTTTTTAAATTATATAATTTTTAATATTTATCATACAATCTAATTAGAATTTAACTTCTTAAGTTTGCTTTTGTATATGTATTGATGATTTAATAATTAAATGTGCATTATGGAGAAAATACATATAATTTCTAATCAGATACATATTACATGAAGAATTTTTTTATAAATAGATTTTTATTTTTAAAGCTATTAAGTTAACCATATATATACACATATTTTTTTTATAATTTTTAAATATTACAAATTATATTATATTATCCTTGAATATAGATGATAATAAATATTTTCCTATAACATACTTATTATTCTTTTTTGCAATGATTAATTTGTTAAAATAATGCCTTTTAGGGATATGATACATAGATGATGATGTTTATATTTATTACAATTTTTTCTAATTTTTTCAAAATTTTTTGAGCCTTCTATATAGTGTTTTGGGCATATCGGCCGATACTACGCCGCAACGTCACGACCGATGTGTCTCAGTGGCCTCCGAATCAAGGGCCGATACTGCGACTTTGAACCATGCTTTGACTTAATTGCGAAACTTTTAATAATACAGTACCAAGCTCAGGTCACATTCCATTCCAGATCTAGAAGTTCTGTTTAAAATTGGACATATCCTAAGCGGTAAGTTTCGGTTCTACACAAAATTTCATATTCAATGCACTACTGCCCAGAGGATACGGATTGTTACCGAGTATACATGCCTAGGACAAATCAAAATGAAGCAATACATTCAATATTCAATACTATGTGAATTTTTAGGTAAGTATGATGATTACCATTTCCACTGTGACCTTCAATTTGCAGTACTTGACCTGGTCCTTATGTGACCTTTGTGACTTTTTGCTCACTGTCTTATTAATCCAAAGGTCAGATCATGACTGATAGGTTCCTAAAAAAAATTGAAGCCATAGTACAACAGTATGTCTAATAGAAATTGAACTTTGTTTTCGGCATTTAGAATGGAGTCTTCTCTATTAAAAATGAGAACTTATAATTTTCATGACTTGAATGGATCAAGAAAGCAGTAGGAACTTTCAAAAGGATCATTTTTTTGGGCTTGATTTTGAAGCATAGTTTTCCACTCTATTTTCAACTATAAATATAACAAGGAGTGGAGCTGGAGAATATCCCTCCCTGGCTAGGCGACTAGATCTATCTTTCTCGTTTCCTGCTGACCTGGCTGGCCATGTTACTGAGTTCCTAGGAAAGAGCTTTGGATCACCTTCTGATCCTTGTGTTTGATGACTACCTCCCTTTCACATCCATCACCCAAACATACAGTGTGTGTAAACACTTCTCATTCAAAGTATGACATAGCTGATAACTCCTCCATGCAAAGTCTAGTTTGAGTCTTTTTTTCTGATAAATAGTCTAAAGTGGATCTATATTCTCATCTGAGTCACAGATTCGTCTTGATACTGCATTTATATCATGGTTTTGTAATATATGCTTTGCAGGAACTCCAGCAGACTGCACTTCTCTGGGTACCTCCAAAGCACTTTTCCCTTTGGTTCCTGATCTGGTAACACGTGTTTCTGCTTGTAACATGAAAATGTCAGCAATTAATTTACTGGGCAGCTTTCACCTAAAATGTTTAGCATTTTGTTTTGTGCTACTGTCTTGCTCACTGTGCACATGACCATGGTACTATATTTCTTTTCACTTGTGGATGCATGTTGGACACCTTTGGATCAATACCAGATTTGTTGTTAAATGGGCATGCTTACTCTGAACTTCATTTTCTCTCATAATATTTTCAGAGGTCACTTTGTTGGACAACCATCATCTATTAGAGCTATTCTACAGATTGTGGTGCATATTATTCTTATTTTTTTTTAAGTTGCTAATATTTTCATCTCTGCTCACAGGTAATCAGTGGCATAAATATGGGTAGCAACTGTGGTTATCACATGTTAGTAATTTCTTCTATTCTGCTTGGATTTTTTTATGATTTGTTGTTTCAGCTGGAAGAGCCCGTTCCAAATGTCATGTTTCCCTGCACGTATCAAAGCAATGCTACGATGTTCCTCGTTAAATCAAATGTGTAGATACATATGAGTATTCACAGCATTTATTGTTGTTATTAATGTGATTCTGTGCCTTTGGATTATGAGAAATACAACACAATAATTCTCTTATTGTGATAGTTCAAATAGTGCTGATTAGGTTATGAACATATCTCAAATTTCCTGTATAGCCAATGCAGCTACATAAGTTGCTATATTATTAGCTGTTTTTTTTTCCTTATCGGAACAAGGTGCTAAAACAGAGGTTATTGTTTGGTCAATTAGTTGTCTTTTAGTCTCTTGTATGTGGCCTTTTGGCTGGTTTTTTTTACACTGGTTGACAATTAATTTGGATCTCTCATTGAAAATGCAGCATTTACTCAGGGACAGTAGCAGGTGCTCGAGAGGCATTTTTCAATGGTGTACCTGCTGTCTCAATGTCATATGATTGGTATGTACAAAGTCCTTTGACCATATTGAATTAATAGGGTTATGTTTAAACTCATATGTCCATATAATGAAATAAAAAGAAAGCTATATCAAGTTTATGGTAAAGAATAGTCAAGTTCATAAGAAAAATGGAAGCCTATCCAAATCATATGAATGAATTGGGATGTGTTATCAAAGTCACATTTCTTAGTTACCAGGAGTACACTTAGAAACTTGGCTTTCAAACATTGTGGTTGCCTCCTAAGAGGTGATTTTATCCATTGAGTAGGGGTTGCTTAGCAGGGGTGGAGCCAAGAATGAGGATTTTTTTTTTGGAAGGGGGGGGGGGGGGGGAGAGGGGGGCAAAATATAACTAAAAATAATTCACAAGTTGATACCGGAAAAAAATGAGCGCAAGAATGACAAAATAGACTAAGATTCGAGACAGTAACACAATCATGTATTATTGTAAAATACAATATTTTTTAAAATCTCTAAGATTTTTTATAATTGATTAATTGTAAGCTAGATTTTTTACTAATTTTCTACTAATGGGTATAATAACAGAGTCTGTTGGAAAATTATTCTTTATATAGTTGCAAAATGTAATTGAGATCATTCTTGATCTTATCGAGAAATTACGTATTTGACATAGCATAAAATGCTTTTGGGTTATAATATGTAGCTTTTGCATCCAATCATGTTTTTATTAGGTCTAGACTACAAACAAATCGAAAAATAGCAAATGATAACTACACAATTATTTTTAAAAGATAGGAAGCTTTGTATTAAATAATAGAAATATTATATTTTTTTCAATATATAAAAATAGATCATGACATACATCTAATTTACTCAATTCAAAAGTAAAACATTTGTTTTAGGGGGCTAATGAACCACTAATTTACCAGTTAAAAAAGAGAGACTAGTGCTATTATGTAAATTTAAAAAGGGGGGGAGGAAATATAGTACATTGAATAATATTATGGGGTCCTCATCAAAAGTGATCCAAAAGTTTGGGGGGGGGGGGGGTTGGAAATGTCCACCTAGTTCCCAATGTAGCTCCGCCCCTGCTTTCTAGCTGCTTCCAACACTTATGCTTGGCCATTTCCCTTTATGGACTCCAAGTCTAACACATGGCATGCCTTACTGTGAGAGAAGCTGCAAAAGGTGATGCAGTTCGGGGATGCAAATAAGATTGTTAAGCTTCAAACTCTTGTTTTTCCATTAGAGAAATGAATGTGAACATATGATCAATTATACTTATTCTATTGGTGAGATCTAAGAAGCACGGACACGGATACAACACGACACAGACACGCCGACACGAAATTTTTCAAAAAAGTAGGACACGGATACGTTAAATAATATGTATTTTATATATATATTTATATAAAATCATGTGATAAAATAAAAAAATTATTATAATAATCTTTTAATTCATTATTTTCCTAATTCTAAAAATTTACATCATGATATCATTGCATGAAAAGTATAATATAAGATATACTAATACACATTCAACATTAACACCCATGATTCAATAATCAATGACTTGTACAACTTTTACTTTAAAAATATTTCATTTTGTAATACTAATTTTCATCAAATTCAAAGAGCTCCAATTTTGTAATCCTATTTTTTCTCACATTATTTTCATATTAAAAGACTATTCCATTTGTATATAAGTTCATATTCATGTCCAAAATTATATTAAATTCATGTCCTATGTTCAATGTAATGATTATAACTTCTTTTATATTATGATTGTGACTCATATCCCTTTAAAATTATAAAAATAACTCTTAATTATAAAATTATCTGAAAAGTTTCAAAAAAAATTGAAAATAAATCTCAAAACGTGTCCCCCAGCGTGTCCGGCCACGTGTACTAAAAAAAATTTAATAATAAAAAAATGGGACACTTATTTTAACGTGTCTGACACGTGTCCGAAGCGTGTCCGTGTTCCAGACGTGTCCGACACCGACACTCTGCCCAAAATGAAGTGTCCGTGCTTCCTAGGGTGAGATGTGTGCAAATGGGACTAATTTTTTTCTTCCTTGTTTTTCCCCCCTAAATGGGAGTGTGTAAGATAAAAGTCTCAGATATGAATCTTCAGCTAAAGGCCTGTGCTTTAAAAGACTGTTGTGTGATTTTGCATCAAGTGTAATTTAATTTCAGGATTGGAGGACAATTTAAATTATGGAACTTTTACATACAAATATTATTATTCTGTAACCTATGCATACCGACAGAAATTATAGTGTCAGCTTTTTGGTTGGTGCACTATGGATGTTTATTGTCTCTTCCTTACGACCATGATGGTACAATTGTTGAATGGGTGGTGGATTATGTTCTTCACAATTAATTTGGGGCATTGAATTCCAGGATTGGAGGTAGGAGCAATATTAATGACTTCACACTGGCTGCTGAGGCCTGCTTGCCTATCATAAGTGCAATATTGGCTGAGATCAAGAACAAAAGTTATCCTCTGGGTTGTTTTCTGAATATAGATCTGCCAACGAATGTACCGAATCACAAGGTGAATTTGACATTAGCTTGTGCACACATCATTGTTACCTCGAGTTATTACAATTAAGGGCATATATAATCAAGAAAATTTGGAAATTGCCACGTGGAGATGATATATCTGTTCTTGATTTTGTGTATTGGCCAAGTTTAATGCATACCTATTTGCAAAAATAGGTGCCTCTTCTTTTTATGTAGTGGTGCCTTTTCCATGTGCATATTCTAGCAGTCTGTCTATCTGTTTTGTCTCCAAATCTGTTGTTGTTCCATATTATATAACTACAATAGTCAACAATGACATTGTTAATGTTAGGTTTCTGTTTAAATTTTTCCTATTTATTCCTTTCCACCTCCTGCAGGACCCCTGCAGCATGCAAGTGTTAAATTGGTTAAATACAGCATGCCAGTGTTACCAAGAAAAGGAAATATGTGGTCGTTTTAAGAAATTGACTACTTTAATTAGGTGGTAGCTAAAGTTATGGGACAAGAGAACACTTGGAGCATAAGGGTTGGGGGTGGGGACATTTTAAATATGTTCAAATTTTGTAATCTGCTCTCTTTTCTTTCATACAACTATGATAGGTTATGTAGTAGGCATGTGTGCTATTAATTAGAATTCAGGTGATATAAAGTGGAGCACAATACCTTTTTTGTTGTAAGAATATGGACAGTGAACAGTCTGAATAGAAACCTGATGTTGAGTTGCACTTGTTGTTTTGGTTTCTTTGATAGGGATATAAGTTGACTAGACAGGGCAAGAGTATTGTCAGAATGGGGTGGACGCAAGTTACTTCTGGTGCACAAGGAGGAAAAATGTTGTCAACAATGACGATGGAGATGAATTCATCGGCATGTACAGATTCAGATGCTTTAAGTATACCACAAGAACATCTTTTATTCAAGAGAGAAGTGAGGCCTCATTCTCATCTCTGCTAGTGGCCTTTCTTTTTTTTTTTTCCAGATTTTGGCAGTGACCTATTTTGCTAATCTTCTAAAGTTTTGTTTTCTTATTTGGTTTTAATTGTGGTGGTGATAATGGTCATTTATTCTGTATTATTTGCTGAGATTTTTAGAAGTTTCATATAGTAAACTCACTGTGCGTAAGTGAGAAATAATGGTGTCTTTTGGAGGACCTTACTTGGAATTTGCATCATCAGTTCTTATGTTTTGCTTGATTTTAGATTTATCATTTCTTTTGTAGGAGTTTTGAATAGAAAAATTTACTGTTTTATGGTTTTCTTTAGGTAAGGGGTGGCCAAGTTGAAGATGGTGATACAGACTACTCTTCCCTTCGAGAAGGATATGTGTGTAGCTTTCTTTACCAGATATTACTTATCTGCACAGGGTGGTCCATTTTTAACGTGACATTTGCCTTTCTTTTCAGATAACTGTTACGCCACTTGGGGCCTTATCTCCTGCAGAGATTGACTGCCAAGCATACTTTAAAGAATGGCTACCTGGCGTGGCTGAACGCCCTTCTTCCTCTGCCTTGTGATGCTGTGAGTTCTGTCTTTTACTCAATTTTACACCATGTACTTTACTTCTTAAGTTCCCCTATTGGAATGGTCCAAAACGGTAGTAGTATTCTATTCTCTCATACCCATGGCTGTATGGTTACTCCATAAATTTCAAGATGCTTGGAACTTTGAATTCTTGAGCCAGCACATCTCACCATGTTGATGACAGTAATCTCTCGTACTCATTTATGTGTATAAATGAGCTACTTATGTTTTCTCATTTGTCTATGTATTTGTGCTTCTTGGTTTATTTATCTCTCAATCAATACTGCTAATCGTTTGCTTTTGACTACTCTTGTGCTATATTTGCTTGACATCTGATTGCTCACAATTTTCATCCTAACTTTAGATAATACATACTGTTTTTATCAGATGTGAGGGTTGGCTTTTGTTTTATGTTTCCAAGTGTGGTCTGATCCCTTATTTTATCTGACTGCTCCGGGTGTTCGAACTTGTCATCAATGGCTGGCTTCATTAGTACCATTTTCTGTAGTTGTGGCAAACACTTCCAATATAAGTTCAGTCATTCCGCAAACCCCCCTCCCTCCTCCTCCCAAACGAAACAAAGAGATCCAGCCATTTCTCTATTTTCTTGATGTGGAAGATGGTGTTATATTTAAAAACTGAATTTCATGGGAATTTGATGAGATTCCTGAATCATTCTGTTGCCCTTTTTCCCATTACAATCACCATAGTTGTTAGTATCGTACGATATATACGATATGTTGCGATACATGAAAAAAAAGGATACGTATAGTTTAAGTGTATCAAATATCATGCGATGCCCAATACGATACAGCTGATATAACAAACAATACGTACGAGTCGTCTGATATGGGACAAAATAGATCAAAAAAATTTCCTTTGAATTTTATCCAGAAAAGGGTGTCTTTTCACTTGGAAGTAAATTTTTTAAACACTAGGTAAGAAAACGTTGGTTTCACCATCTACAGTTTTTAAGAAATAAAAGTCTTCTTTTTAATTCGTTCCATTGCTGGAAAAAATAGTTTGGATTAAGTGTCCTCCTTCGGCTACTTTAGATGTTAGAACTAGAACTCTCTATATTTTGATATCGATGAATTATGTTAGAAACTTCAATACTTAAATTGTTAATTTTTTTATTTTGGTCCTTGTAGTCTCTTGAAATTGTTTTATGTGAGAAATTTGTGGTGCAAACATTTTGTCATAGCTATATGTATTTTTTACTATCTTTTATAAAACTGCATGTATCTTACGATATGCGATACACTGTTTTTTCAAAAACGATAGATAGACGTGTTGACAACCTTGACGACCACTAAATAGCCAACATTTTATCCCAGCAGTCTTAACTCTTTTCTATTTTGCTTGAACAGACCAAGAATCTACCACAAACTGCCCAAAGTCCACAAACCATTATCAGAAACAACATCCCGTCCACCACCCCCAAACACCCCACAAACCTCAAAATTACAAAGAAATAAGAGGCATCACATAGAAATACAGCCTATTATATCCAAAATAAAAGAATCAAATAGAAAAAACCAAAGAATTTTTCTGTCGAAGAACAGGCAATCTGCATTGGTCCTGCTGCAGAAGGATCTTCCCCACACCAGGCAATGACCCAGAAACTGAAAATTCAGAAGAACTTCGATCTTGGACAGCTTGATTAGCCAGAAAATCAGCCACACAATTTGCCTCTCTATATACATGTGAGATCTGAAAATCAAACCTACCATTCAAAATCCCAAAGATTTGATGCAACAGATCCCAAAACTTCCTAGGAATCACCACCTTACCCACCACCCACGTCAAAATCCTTCTCTTTCTCCCTCTCTCCCCCTCTCCCCCTATAATATATTTATGATTTGGAAGATGTGTGGTTGTAGAGGTGGTGGTGAGAGGTGGAGGGTTTGACGTGGGAGGTAGATTCTTTTGGTGAGAAGGTGGTGGGGTGGCCTAGAGATAGGGAACGGGGAGAGGGTTTTTTTCTCCACATTTTATTTTTCATAGTTCTATTTTTTAGACTTATTATAAATTATAATTGTTTGTAATTCTAATTAGGTTAAAGTGGGTATTTTATGAAAATACTGAGAAGTGATAATGTGGTGAAAACTCATTGATCAATTGAAGGTCATCTCACTGAGAAGGATTGACTGTAAGTTGACTTGAAAACTCAAGAGTTTCTTTGTGATTTCTCAAACCTCAAAGGTGGGGAAAGTGTAATGAATGTAGATCTTGAGGGTGGTTTGTGTTGTTTTCCTTATTTATATGTGATGATTGGCTAATTTTACTCCTACAACTACTAGTGCAAATCTCTTATTTTTAGTTGATTGAAGTTGCCAAAAACAACTCAGTTGGATGAAAAAAGGGATTAATTTTAGATTTGTCTAGTATTCAAGTTTAACCTATAGATATATCTTCTGAATTCTCCTGGAAATATACTCATTGCCCTTAGTTAAACCATGTAGTTCTGATTTCCCTACTGCTTTATAGAGCATTCAAGGAACATCATTATTAAATGATCATGTGGATGGCTTGAAAATACCATAGGTTGTCCCATCTATTCAATAGCTTTCATAAGTCAACCTCAGTAATGTCCTGATGGATGTAAGAAGAAGAATTGAACTGCTATCTCAACTGCTTGAAACCGACAAAGCAGCAACCAAATACAATCAAAATGGGAATTATGCTTCACACAAATACTTTCTTTACAGGGATGAAAAAAAGAAAAAAGATTACCAAAATGTTCCCATATGAAGCCTCTAGTACATATATTCATATTAGATAGCAATGTGTAGTATGTCATATAATGCACATATATTTAAATATGTATATATACATAATGTTTCTAATTATATAATATTGTTTCTTGCCAAGAATCAAATGGCACTCTAGGATATTCTCTTCTATACTGTCAAAATTAAGCATGCTTGGATGTTGGAAGAAAGAGTTTCAGAATGAGTCAAACATACTTCAATAATTTAGAACCACATTCTATAACAAGGTCACTCAGCAGGGAAAATGTTGGAACCAGAAACGAAAAAGGAGAAACGAGCACTTATAATAGTACAAAATGTAGGTTATAACTTATATACATGACTGAAAACTTCCTCATTTTCTGTCGTCTCTGGATTTGTGTGTAACAGCATTCATTGTATCGGTGGCAATGCCGGGACATGTGCCTCCACTAGTATCGACCAAAGCACGTGCACGTCTTCACAGGGGCAGGACTTGACATCATCGTAGAGGATGTATATCCCTCTTCCTGAGGAAAGAGGAGGAAAGTGCAGTTTTGGTAAAAAGGGGATTTGTGCAATCATGTGTGTCGGTGTATGAGAGAGAGAGAGAGAGAGAGAGAGAGAGAGAGAGAGAGAGAATGGCTTTTGTAGCAACTTCATTACACTGTTTGTCTGCAGTTCAGAGAGAACGCATAACACTAGAAAGTAGATTCTGGTGCTATTAGGATACTAATATCATAAGCGCGCGCGTGCACACACACAAAACTATATGCATGTGGTTGTGTGCCTTGTATATTCTGAGTTCATAGAGGAGCCTGATGAGAACAAGGGAAAGGGAATGTGCAGAAAGAAACGATGCATTACTGATAAGAGTTATTAATGACCCCATAACATAACAAAAAAAATGTAAAGCTCATAATGGAATTATAGGAGTGATTGAGGGCATACTCTTCTTTTGAGCTGTGTGCAGACGAAACCACATGTTCTTCAATGGAGAGAAGAGGGACTGAAACCACCCCATTTGCAGAAGTGGGTGTGCCTCATTGTAGTTGAAAAAAATAGGAGGAAATAGGTAGCAAAGGTAAGAGAGAGAAACTGCTAGTTTGCTTAGACAAGGGTGAAGTTTAGGTCACTGTTTCTTAGAAACATTTACATTCACTTGCAGGCCAATCATGCGTATCATATTTTCTGTTGTTGTAATGTCTCTATCACACCTTTTTTCTCTTATAGCAGAAGGAGCCACCCCACCAGTCAGCAGTTCTATATACACTTCTACAAGCCCCTATTATCCCTTATTCCTCAAGCTACAGTAAGGTGTGTTTTACCATTGTTTTAAGTTTTGGAGATATGCCCATTTGTGGGGTTTGTTTACTATTTTTGGGTCACCTCTTGTGCTTCAAGTAAACACTTCTTTTTTAGAGTCTGCTACAAGTTTTCATCTCCTATTTGTCCACTTGTATTCCTAGGTTTTTTCTGGGGCACAGTTTAGACTTTATGACTCAGATTTTTGGTATATTTTGGGACATTTTGAGTTGGATCAACTTCAAACATTGCGAGGTGGGTAGTTTATTAACCATAGATGCCTCCTCAAGAGTAACAAAAGGTGTTTAAAAGTATGCTTAAACTAAGATTCTGTCCGAGTGTAACTATAAACCGACTTGACTGGTCTTTGGTCGAACAGAGATGAAAGACAGGCATAGTGATCCAGGAGTCCCGTGACACCTAGAGGGTTGCAACCATCCCATAATTTTTGAGGAAAGACTTACCCTAATCGTTAGTTAGTCAAATAATAAGAGAGGACGAAAGAGAGCATGATTATTCAGTTCCAATAAAGACAAAGGAGACTATGTTGGCGTTTTTAAAATTATTTTTGCTGATGTAATCTTTTTGGGTGAAGGAATATAATTTATTATAAATATTTTAAAATAGTAGAGGATCAACGTGTCAATATTACAACGGCAAGAGTTGGCAGGGCTATTTAAGCAAACGTCGAGGGTGTTATATAATATGCTTTAGATACATATGGAGCATGTTTGTTTCGAGTATAAAATTTAGGTGGTATAAGGTTTTATATTCATTCAACTCCAATTCAATAGTATATTATAGTTGGTGTTAAACTATAATTTCATTATTCTCCTTGTTTGTTTATCACAAATATTATCTGTGTAATACTTACTTAAAAAAGTCAAACAATTACGGTTAACCAATGTAAAAGACAATTTTAACCTTTAAAACGTCAAAAATTGTGACTAAGCTTT